AAGTTATAGCCCATAATATAAAAATTTTTTAGGACAAATTTGGTCACGTGACCCCAGCTGCAAAGGGCCTATTTCTGGCAGGTGTACAATGTATGTTAATACAGTTAGTAGGTTCATAGTCAAGTGATTTTCTTGTCTTTAAAAAAGTTTCTTGATTCTGTTCCAGTAACATGATTGATATTATATCAACAGGGAAAAGCAGTATCTGAAAATGAAGTGGTAGACTGAGATGACACAAATGAAGAGAGATTTAATGGTTGTACAAAGGTATGATGCCAATCGTGAACTTATTTTTGTATGAATGTTGTGTGATGTCCCTCAACGGTGGCATTGATTGCATCCAGTAACAGGCCAACAGATAATTGCCCATAGTAGAAGATTTTTTTTCCTAAGTTGGTTTTACTGGAATCATGTGCATGTGTTGTCATAAACGTTTGTAATTAACAGTTATAACCATCTAATATCCAACAAGTGAAAGTGAAGTAATTGTTCGATGAAAAACTCCCCCAATTTACATGCAATGAAAACTATACTAAACTAAAAATAAAAATGCCCCAAAAATCATGTGTATGCATACCATAATTATTTGTAGGGCATGGTGATTAATGGCTCATGTATACCATGATGGCTAAGCCAATGAAAATCCTTCAATTGTATTATCAATGATCCAGTTGAATTTAATAAAATAAATGTGGATTAGACTGTACATTAGTTCATATTGGTCAGGAAACTTTTACCAGTGGACAAAACATAAAAAAAGTTGTGAGCACTTTTTTCCTGTTTAACATAAATACTATAAACCAAAATACAAGAAAGCTAAAAGCAAAGTAAATAAGAATTACATGCTGCCATTTGTAGGAAGTGCTATTAACAATCTTGCTATTTAAGAGCGCCGGACAACACCTTTAAAATGTTTGCAGTGGGTCATGTTCTCTAAGAAAAAAATTTGTTTTGCTCTCAGATCTCTGCCATGTTTTATGACAGTATAAAAAATCTTGTAGGCTTCTCTATTCACTTAAGGTTCCCCTCTAAATTACCAACGTTGTCTTATGTTTTAGGATGCATTAGTCAGGTCAGTCAAGGATGCCTCTGATGCAAAGTCAGCAGTGGAGACACTTGCTAAACAACTTTTTACCACTGATGAACTGAAAAACTCATCAGTCACTGGATTTCAGTGTAACAAAGATTGAGTCACATCAAGGCCTGATTCCATCAAGGAGGAACCTTTTAGAAAGTTAGTAATAAACTGTCATCATATGATTTCATGCTTCTTTCATATCACGTCTTCACCATCACATGGTATTAATAAAGGCTATATTACTGAACAGTATTGGATAAAGTCAATCTTTAGCAGTCCTTTATTTATTCTCTGTTACACTTAACTGCATTACATGGAAGAGATCAGTTAGTGATTCCCCAAGGGTGACTGCTTTTATAATAAGTTGTTGTAATGGGCTATCTTTCAAATGTTTTAAAAATCAGAATAACTAAAGGAAATGTTAAAAATCATTGCTGAATAAGATTGTTTTAAATTCTACTTGTGGTTTAAAATCTCATAACTGAGTTGAGATAAAAAAGTTACAAATACTTGAGTTTACCCCTTTGATGTCTGAATCTGCAGTTATACTATTTAAATGCATACATCTGTACATTGATATTAATCTCAACTTGGCTGTTTCTTTTGACAGACATTGTATTAAAGAAAGCCTTCCCTGCAATGACCGGGTCGTCTGTCACAAAAGACCTTAATCTACTTCTGAGAAAGGCCATAGCTTTAAATAAAGAAAACTGCCTGAAGGTCAAGAACAAGAATGGAAAATAGTAGCTATAAAATTATCTCTTACAAACATGTTATTCTAAGTTTCTTGAGTTACTGTTTCAGTGAAGATTGTGGTGTATATTTTGAACAATCCAGATTAGACTTGTTTTAGAATTAAAGGTATTGGCAGAAAAGAGACTGGTCTCCTGTGACTTCTAATAACTTTGATGGTAGTTTTTACTTCTGATGAGAATAAATATGAGAATATTTGAGTTCCAGTTGCAGTTATTCTTTGAAATCATCTACCTTAAAAAGGATGAGGGAACCAAAAGCTAAAACCCTGTAACTGGAATTATGTGGCAAAAACTGGAATAACCTAGAAAAAGCTGGAAATGAGTACTTCTTCTGCTCTTTTTTTTTAAGGTGAGAGCAAGACTTTTCTAGAAAATTCTAGCAAATTCTAGAAACTGTGTAATTAAAAAAGCTGGAAAAAGCTGGAAAAAACCTGATTTCATGCCAAACTATGAATTCTGGAAAAAGCTGCCAAATTCTTAATCCTTATTAACATGTTTCATTAACATTCTAGAAATTTCTAGAAATTTCCAGAAAAGAAAAGAAGTAAATTCTAGAAATTTCTAGAAATTTTTTCTGGGATTTTTCTAGAAAAATTCTAGAATTTTCTAGAACATTCCAGATTTGTTTTACAAGGGTGGGGCATATTAAACTACTGACTTCATTTCCATGTTATACAAATTATGACTTTATTTCACATTACAACAAGAGCTAAACAGTGAAGGCCGAAAAAGAAGTGCCTCTATGGTCCCTTGAGTTAATAAAAATAGCTGTTACGACAAAATAAATTACATTGCCCTTTTCCTGCTATTTAAACTCCAAAAAACAAGATTAAGTTACATCTCCATCACAAAAGAGCATTAATATAGTAATTAACTTCAATCTTCTTTTCTCAGATGGTTATTTCAGCAGTCATAAATGCAAATGATGATGTCCTTAACCCATTGACTCCTGTGCCAGCCGTAACCGGCTGTGACGAACCCTGGCCCTTGTTCCACTTCTGACATCATCACCTTTGACCAAAAATGGCATCATCTATGCTCAACTTCTGCAGGAGGAAAAGACCTTTCCAATGACACCCAGATCAGAGTGATCGGCTCAGTGGAACCTGAACTATGCACAAAAATGCTCAAAAAGTTGAGAGAAAAACTCAGCATAATTTCCTGCAACTACACATGGCTACCCCATGGTAAAAATTGCCTGTCTCAATGATGCTTTCTCAGAATTTTTTGAACTGGAAGCAAGCCTAGTAGAAGGTCAATCACTGCAACAAAAAGAAAGGAAAAGGAGAAAAAGGAAAGGTGAAAAAAAAGTTAGAAGAAATCGAAAAGCCTAAAGACCTAGGTCACTTTCTCGTCCAAATTGCCAAAATTTTAATTTCCACACATGCGCAAGCAAAAATGTCATAAAAGGCAATGCTAGTGGAAACAAAGGCATGCTGTCATGCTACAAATGTCTTTTTGACTAGATTGGAGCTAATTTGGCCCATATCCAACCTAAAAATCTCCAAAATGGCTAAAAAATGCGTTTTTGCCAAAACGCTCCGGGAGTCAATGGGTTAAAGATATGGGCCCCTCGACAGCAGGGGAACAGATTAAGCCTTCATGGCTTTTGTAGCACCACTCAAGAGAAGCAACACAAGGAAGAAAAGGAATCCAAAAGAGTAAGACTACTTGAGGCATTCTTGTCTTGAAAGAAAGATAGGTCCACTAAGCTTACGACTGCTTCAGGCAACCGACAGCAAAAGAAAAAGCTTGAAAAGGAAAAAAAGAAGTCCAAACGAGTACAGGTTGGAAACACTTCCGAGAGGAGGTCGAAGACTGTTTTTGTACCTCTGTCTAAGGGAGGTGAAAGTAGGTGTGTAACCATGCTGTTATCAAGTAACAGAATAGATGTTATGAAACTTTGTAAATCAATCTTTTTCCCTAATGGAGTGTCATATTATGGGAAAACAGAAGACATGCTATTTGCTATTGGAAATTTTCATGATAAACAAATTGGTGTTACCCTGGAAGTGAATGGGAGAGAGCTACCTTTCAATGTTGGAAATTATGTGGAGGCTTTTAAACTGAACGATGTCAGGCTATAATTGTTGTCCAAAAAGATGACAACTAGCAGTGATGAAAGTGATGATGGTGTACCACCTATGATAATGAGTCATGACCCCACTTCTTCTGAAAGGGCATGTACGGCTGGTACTTCAACTGAGGACAGACAAGATGACAGTAAAGGCCTGAGTGGTACAACAAAACAAAGGGAATCACTTAAAAGAGAGCAAGATACCGAGTATGAACTTTCACTAAAAGCAGACAAGCAGAAAAGAATTTCCCTTGAAATCGCAAATGCTGAGGCTGAACACAAGAAAAGAGTTCAAGAGGCAAGACCTGCAAGAGTTTTAGCAGAACCCAGAACAGAATTTGTCACTGTAAGGGTCCGACAACCTACAATGGGAGTATGCTCTTAGCAGTTTCCAGCAAATAGTCAAGTGGCAGTAGTCTATGACTGGGCTGGTTATTTGACTCCTGGCATGGTGGATTTCACACTCTGTGACCCATTAGGCACACCACTGCCACCAGGTAGTAGAACTAAAGAATAGACATACCTTGGTTATGGCTACTGCTACACATACACCATCACTGTGCGAGTCAGATGATGACATTTAATTTATGGGATTTGGAGATGCAAGCAATGGCTTTAACACAACATTGAGCGCAACATTGAGGGAATGGAAATAACTACTGACGTGTAAGTAACTTAAGGTTCCACTTCAGTGTTCCATATTAAATAACAGCCAGTCAGGAAAAACACTATCGTCGGTTATGTTTACAGACCACCAAATCAAAACACTGCCCTGTTTCTAGAGAAATTCAATGACATTCTTACTATTATCACTAAAGACAATAAACATTGTTATGTGATGGGAGATTTTAATTTAGACCTTCTTCAGTACAACCATCATGTACCGACTCGGGAATTTATTGACAGCTTATTTTCGCACGCATTTTCCCCTCTTATTTCAAGTCCAACTCGCCTCACCTCTTACTCTGCAACACTAATTGACAACATATTCACTAACAGTCTCTGGCAAAATGTTTTCAAAGGCATCGTCCTAAATGATTTATCTGATCACTTACCGGTCTTCACCTATTTTGATAACAAAACTCAGACACGTAGAAGAGAAAAGAAAATTCCCTCACGCACAATCAATGTTATTAATTTGGAAAAATTCAACGTGCTTTAGCAGTGGATTTCTCTACGTTCTAAAACAAGTGCCACGAGGCAGGCCAAAAGGGCCTTTCAATTTATCCGTATTCTAGTACAACAAACAGGCCATTGAATCATACACTTACATTTAATACATAGAGGATATTACATGGCTGCGTGGAGATATAAAATTTATCTTCGCTATACTATGCTCTCACATGAAATATTTTTCAACACAAGAAGAGAAATTTCATATCTCAAAGCGGCCATGTAATGTTTTACTTATTGTAAACAATGAAAATACAAAACAATTTCAGTTTCACTGCAACATGTGAAACTTATTATGTAACCATAGCAACAGTGATCTTTTCACATATGAAGATAACATGTTATTTTCACATGTGAATATATCATGTTTTCACGCTAAAGATCACTTGACCAATTGCAAGCCAAAAACCAACTGATCTCAGATGTGCGGATGAGTGAAAATTTTTTTGCCATGGGCTCGACTTTGGTGCCAAAGTTCTGTCACATTTCTCCCCTACTGTTTAAACTGCTTTGGCCACCAGTGAAACAGTGCATCATTTTCGTTTCCTGCTTCTTACAAATGTTCAAAATTATTCATAGCCTCTTGTCCTTGCGATCTTATTTCTCTGGTTTCTCAGGGACATTGCAACAGGTGCATTGTGACAGTCAAGGAATTTTACTGGGCCCTCCTAATTTTATGATCACTGCCCCTCAGCTTTGCAACATGCTTCTGGCTGATGGCAGATGCTAAGAATGCCTGTGCAATGGACAACTTGAAAACTCTTGTTAAAACTTTCTTGCTTAAAGAAGCTTTTTCATTCAGTACAATGAAATGGCGGCTCCACCACCAAAAATCACTGGCTCAAATCCTGCCAACTCTACAGGCTGATAAATCAGGTGATGAATTATTCACTTGCTCACATCAAGTACTGATTCATTGACAGCCATCATGGGCTCAAATGATTCGTTCAGTGAGCTACTGGAAATCATTTAATTTGCTCACCAAATTACGTGTTTTACTGGCTGTGTTATCCATTCATGGGTATTTTTAGATGAATGGCTTTTTCTGATTCCCCGATAAGGTCAGGAGATTGCTGGACGCATGGACTCATATTTTTTTTTTTTGTGAGGGAATGTCATCGTATCTGATTGGGGACTCGTAAAAGTCATGTAGCAAAGCGCCTGGTTTGTAGTTCCAAAACCTAGTTAGTGATTCGCCATTTTCAGCATTTTGATCAGTTTGTGGACTGCTTTTGTCTTACTAATTTCTATCCTCTGATTCAAGGATTTTCTTAGTGCAATGAATGAATGAAGATTTTGTCTCATTTGATAGAAATTAGATGGAGTATAATACTCAATTTCCTATAGAGTGCTGTCTACATAACACATTCAGTTTTTTGTTAAACTCGTTATAGTTACTGTAGCTGTTACAATCAAAACAGCTCAAGTATTCTAACTTAATATTAGTTTTAAATTAATAATATTATTGTTGTAGAATTAATGCTGTGAGGCATTTATCATGAGTAGTTGGCTTAAAGAGTCTTTGATTTTAGAAGGGTGGGGGTTATAGATTTTTGAATGTGTAAGGAGTTAAGGGTGGGCTTCATTGAATCATTACTTGCCAAGGGATAGGGTACTGAAAATGCCTTCATGATAAATTTGATTTTTCCATCCTAACTCTCCCCCCCCCCTCCCCCATGTACATTATGAGCCTTCATGAGCCTCCTGTTCATCAATCCTTGTTTGAGCTTTAGTACCAGTGATAAAGGTTGTCCAATTTCTTTTCTGTTTTCATTCAAAATTTGCAGGCAATGTTCAAAGTTTTCTCGTAATGGCCTTGCGTAATTATTTCTAGTTTCCCAGTGATAATTATATTTTTCCCA